CCCCCCCCCCATCGTGGTTATCAGGGATGTTAAGCTCTCTCTTCTGCCTCTGTTAGATCCCTGCCATTTTGGTCCTTTATCATGTCCATCTTTGCATGAAGCGTTCCCTTCATATCTCCAATTTTCTTGGGGCCACCTGTTTTAGTGACGTTATTTTCCTTTATCTGTCCAGAATCCCTCACCGATCGGCTTCATGGGAGGACTGGGGGTTCTGATAGGAAAAATGAGGGGAGATGCGTCCCTTCCACCTTTCTGCTCACCATGCATCATTCCACAGGAGGTGGCAAGACCTAGGTGGCCTCAGCCCTTGACTGCCTGATGTGGGACCTGGTTTCCTCCAGGGGGAGGTGTCAGACAAGGGCATGTTTTATCTTCCTATCTGTTCAATCGGTGTGGAAACATATAAGGAAAGCTGGATTAGGATCTGAGGAAGCAGGAGTAAAATTGGTGGAAGATGCATCCATAATATAGGGCGGTATGCAGACAATACCAATTTACTAGCCTAAAACAGCAATGACTCCTGATGAAAGTGAAAGAAGTGCAAAAGCAGGACAGCAGCTGAATTTGTGGAAATCAAAAGTGACTACAGAAGAACTACACAACTTTCACATCAACAGTGAGGTAATTGAAACTGAAAGATTTGCATACATTGGCTCCATCGGCAGTTCAGAGGGAGACTGCAGCCAAGAAGTTGCATGAAGACTGAGGCTTATAAAGGCAGCAATAAAGAAACTAGAAAAGTTCCTCAAATGGAGAGGTATTTCACTGGAGACCAAGGCCAAGATGGTCATGTTGTTGTATTTCCAATCATTAAGAATGAGCATGAAAGCTGGGCAGTGAAGAAAGCTGCCGGGAAGAAAATTGAAGCATTCAAAAGATGGTGATGGAGGGGAGCTTGGGGAATACCCTGGACTGACAGAAAGACAAATAAGCGGGGTGCTGGATCCAATCAAGCCAGAACTTTCCCAGGAAACAAACATGGGAGCACTGAATGGTCATGCTCCAGGCACCAGCTCGTGAGAGCTGGGCCGGGCTGTCAGGAATGGGGTGTTCCCTCTGGAGGTCACCCTAAGCCAGAGGTGACTTGAGGATGCACAGCAACATCTTCTCTTTCCTACCCCTTTTCTAAGCTGAACAATCACAGCTGTTGTAACCTTCCCTCATTGGGGAACTGCTCCGACTCCTGGCTCCTCCCCGTTGCCCTCTTTGGCACTTTTTCCAAACGCACCATATTTCTGGGGTGACAGAAATGCACACACTGTCCGAAGTGCATCCACAGCACAGATTTTAAGAGAGCGGTGTGCTTGTCAGCTTTATTTTCAGCTCCCGTCCTCAGTACGCCTTGCTGAAATTGGCCTTTGCACCGGACGCTGAGGAGGCCTAGCTCAAAGCTCTCCAGCCCCTCCTGCCCAGGCCCCCGAGCTCCCTTTGCCAGCTAGCAGCTTCCATGTGAAGTTGTGCTTCAGCCGCACCAGCTGACACCTGCTGGTGTTGAGGTGATGCACAAGCCCCGTCTGCCACTGCGCCAACTGCTCCCGTCCCTTGGCAGGCCCTGCATCTTGGGAACTCAGCTGCACCAGCAGGTTTGGCCATGCTCCTGTGGCCAGCAGTCCAAGGGGCTTTGCTGTCCTGGCAGAAGGGGACGGCAGGGTCCTGCCCGGAGATCTGGATCACTCCCGCCCAGGACAAGGAGAGGGGTTGCTCAGGTGGCCCAGGGGGAGCTAGAGAGGGAGGGGAGCAAAGGGGGGGCTTGCTGCTCGCCGTGCCAAGGGCAAAGGCAGCACTCCCATTGCTGCCTCATACGCAGAGCTGCTGGCACTGTGGGCACCGCTGCCCCACGGACTCTCAGGAGAAGGCCCTCCTGCCCATGGTCTCCGAGATCGATCAGGCCCCACCTGCTGTGGGGGCACCGTCCCCCTTGGCCCAGCATGCAGGTGCAGCGGTAGTGGCAGGGTCACCCTTGGGCAGCCTCTAATTGGATCTGGCATGCCTGAGAAATCACATCTTATGTTTCTCGTTCGCCTCCGCATGAGACAATCAGCAGCTCAATTTCATGCTAGAGTTGTGGCGCATTAGAAGGCTGGCATGGCTCTGCGGGCTCCTCCGCTGCGCCATGTGGCAGAAGAGCAAACAGGGAGCCGTGGGCGGCCGAGCCGTCGTTCGCCCTGTTGCTGGCCTGATTCACTGCCGGCCATGCAAATGCGGAGCCTCTTCCTGGAGCTGGCTGCTGGGCTGGGGGCCACCGCCCTGGGCTTTGCCCTTGCTCAGGGGACGGCTCCTTGGTGCGGCACGCTGGTCCTGCTCTCCTGGGGAGGAAGAACGGGGTGATGTCGTACGGCGCTGCCCTGGCGTGCACACCGGATTGCCTTGCACGCTACCTTTGCGGATCCAGAATGGCTCCCAGCCCAGTTCAGCTCTTCCCAAGGTGGTGGTGCAGCTCCATCTGCAAGCACACACTGGAACCGCTGCTGAGGCTGCTGCTTTTGTGAGCCACCCAGAATGCCATAAATAAATACCCCTCCCCAAATCATTGCGACCATGATGGTCCTACGACGATGCGGTCATGCCAGTGCAGACCAGCTTGGTCAAGCCGGTGTCCCCTCGTGCTCCTCAGCCAGCACAGCTGGCGGCAAACGAGCTGGCAAAGTTCCGGCAAGCAGGGTTGGGGCACCGTTCGTTTTAAGCCCGTCTGTGGGGTGCTCCACATGCAGCTGAGGCCTTCCGTGGCAAACTGGGGGCTGATTAACCCGGGAGTTGCGGGGACATCTGCCCCCCGCAGGCTGCCCTGTTTCTACCAAGGATCTGTGACTGGCATTTGGGCTTGGATTGCAATGAGCCCTCGCTCTGCACGTGTTCCAGGGTAAACGACCCAAAGTTGATCCATGGTTCCTTCCTGAGTGAGCAACCCGTGAGCAACCCAAAGTGTGACCTGGACAGATGCGGGGAGGTCTTTGGTCCGTGTCGATTGCTCCAGCAGGCTGCAGCTGCAGGGCGACTCCCGGACTGTCTGCCTGGCGGGCAATTAGTGCCCCCCCAAGAAGGACCTCCTTGGCTCCCCCGGAGCTGCCCAACAAGCCCCTCCCTCGCGGCTTTGCAGCGGCAACTCTCCGCAGCCACGCGTGTGCCCGCAGGGTCTCCCCCTCCTCCCAGGGGGGCACATGGCAGGGCGGAGCAGGCAGGCCCCCGGGGCTGTGGGAGCCTGTCCTCGTTCCCACAAGGCTCTGCAGAGGACAGGGAGCAGTGGACCAAACGTGCAAGCAGGCCCCCCCGCCCCGCCCGCGCAGGCGCCTTGCGATCGCACGCCGGGACGAGAACGGCCGTCGGCCTGTGCCTTGCGCAGCCTCTGGCCAAGGGCGGCTGGGAGAGCCGTGCAGCTGGGCAGGCGAGGGCCAGGCCGTGGGCCAGGCGACGGGGCCACTCGCCTTGGCCCGGCCGAGTGTGAGTGCCACGGAGAGGCACCCGCATTTGGCTCGGGATGGGGTGCCGGGGCGGGAGAGGGCAGCGTATGGCCAGGGGCGAAGCCAGGGCCCCGTCACCTTCGCACTTGTGCGACCCTTTGAAGGCCCCTTTCCTCAAGGGATCGTTCCACATCAAGCAGGTTTCCTTTCTTCTGGCAGATACACGATGGCGCCTGATAACAAAATGCCGTGTTCTTGTTCTCCGTGGCTTGAAAGTCCAGAAGGAGACCTCTGACTTGCAAAGGGGTTTTTAAACTAAAGTTGAAAAGATGAAGGGGACGGGGCGCATCTTTGATGTTTGTGCTCACAAAGAAGTTGCTGTGGTTGCATGAGGGGGCCCTGCGCTGTAACCACAGATGTCTCTCTTCACTCAGCCTGGAGTGGAAAAGCTTCCAAGTTTGCTTTGCTCTTTCCATGCTCCCTGGAAGCTGCAAACACCAAGATGCCTCCTCTGCCCCCCCCACCCCAGTTCTGCCAGGGGTTTGGAAGTACTTTCTGCACTTCGTGCTCATGGTAGGGAAGAAGATGCCCTGCTCTTCCTCAGCTGCTGGTTCACCTCCTAAATAAATTGCTGAGGAGGAACAAGTGGCTATCAGCCAGCCAATGCTGGCAGGAAGCTTCTTTTCAAAGTTTGGAATGCCGGTCATTTTTTGGCTGATTTGTAAGCGTTGTGTCTTATCTTTTTGAGCCTGTTGGAAAAGCAGCAGTTAACTCAGTTCTGCACTATGCTGAAGCACTCTGTGATTCCTGGAGCTGTGCCCTAAATGAAAAGTGCACAGCCCTTTCAGCAGGGTTTCCTGGGACGAAATGTGCCTCTGCCCACGGGACAGCTTGGGGGCTCGCCTCCTGAATGGCATGCAGGCGCCCTGGCCCTGCTGGGTTGTGGCACGGAGTCTTCGGGGCTTCGGCAGCCCTGTCTCACCCAGCATCCTGCTGTTGCAGTGGCCCTGGAGCACCCTCTTCTTGCCATGCCATGCCATGCCAGGAGCCTGGCCCAGCAGAAGAGGGCAGGTGAAGCCCCTCTTTTGCAGCCCTGCCATCCATTCTGTCTCCACAGGAAAATGGACCGAAGCCGAACAAGTCCCAAGGGCAGCGCTACTGCCTCCCCGAGGTATGTGCAGCAGCTGTGGGCAGCCGGGCCGGCCTCAGCCAAGCGGGCTCTCCAGCACTGCCGGCCGGGCATTCCCAGCGGCTCGGGCTCCTTTGGGTGCTGGAGGGGCTGGCCGGGGCGGTTCTCGGGGGGCTCGGACACACTGGGGAAGGGGCTGGCAGCCTCCCCAGGGGCCATATGGCTGACCTGCAGGCCATTCCCTTCTGCTGGGGACCGGTGTACCTGGGGGTGCGGAACATGGACTTTTTGGTCTTGGGCTCATGCCTGTTGCTTTGGGAAGATTTGCTAAGGGCATTGGAGCAGAAGGATCCTGGCAGAGCCTGTTCCCCTTTCTTGGAGTCCCTTGTGACCTCGGGGACCCTTGCAGCAGGTTGCCCTGGCCTGGCTGCCCTGCTCTGCAGTGGGACTCCTCCTGGGAGTGGAGGGCACCAGCTTGGCGGGCTGGAAAGGGCCCACCAGCTCTTCCTCCCAGAATGGGAAGCAGTGGCTAGACTGCTGAGCCCCCACCCGAAGTAGAAAGCCGCTCCTGTACATTTTCAGCACTTTCAGACTTGCTGGACCCGTGGCCATTTTTATGGGATTGGCTTGACATTTTGCCCAATTACGGCACTCCTTGGGGAGAGCGCGAAGAATAAGCTGCACCTGATTAGCTCCACAGGTGTCCTTTTTCTGTGCAAGAGACGTTTCAGGCAGAAATGGTGGAAGCTTTTCTGGACTGTCACACACACAAGCTAAAAGTGCCTTTCTGTGCCCCAGTAATTCTCTGCTCCGGGCTGTCGGAGGAAGGACAGATTTCCCGCTCCACTTGCTAGCTGAGGCCCTTTTGCCCAGAGCTGCTGTGGGCTGGGCTGGGCTGGGCTGGGGCCTGCCCCCTGCCCCCTGTTCCCCGCAGACGCCGGGGAAGGCCAGCCAGGCCACCTTGGGCCCAAGCAGATGCCCCACTTCAGCATGGGTCACCCGCAGAGCGCAAGGGGCAGAGGGGGCTGCTTGCAAGCAGGACTGCCCTCAGCCGGCTCCGTGCAGGGCCTGGGTGGTGGTGGTGGTGGGCAGGAGCGGAGGGCCTGCTGCCTCCCTCGCCCTTCTCCCCGCTCCACTGCAGGAAGCACCAAGGGCACTGCTGCCCCGTGGTGAAGCTGGGCTCCGCCGCACAGGCAGGAGGGATCGGACTGGCCCAGGCGGCCCGTCCAAGGGCTCGTCCCGTTCTGTCCCCTGCCCGGTGTGCCGCCTCCCTCCCAAGCCAGGGCAGGTGGGGCAGCGGGAGGGAGACGAGGGAAGCGCCTCTCCTCCTCGGGGCCGGCTGGCCAGCCAGGCAAGAGTGGCAGGGCGTGTGGTGCCTGCACCGCCGGCCGGCATGGACTTGCTCTCTCAGGCAGCCATCTCCTCGGAGCAAGCGGTGGATGGCCGGGGTGGCCCGGTGCCAAGGACAGGCCGCTCTGCGGGAAGCAGGCGGTTGGGCACAGCCCACCATGTCTCGCAGCGCCCAGTGGGCAGCCCGGGCACATGGACGGCCTCCCTGGAGGGCCGCAGTGGGCCCCTCCCCCAGGCCCAAGCCCTGTGGCTGTCCAGCTAAGCTGCCCTGTCCTTTGCAGAGATCGCTGACGACCGCACTCGTGACGGAACAGAAGACCTTGGTGGACTCTGCGGGGTCGGGCAGCCGGCGCGTCCTTCCCGGGGCCTCCGTGGCCCTGCTCTTGCTCCTCGCAACGGTCCCGCTATAGAAGAGACGAGGGATGAGGCAGCCGCGCTGGGGAGGGGGCCGTGCTGCGCAGGCCCCCCGCACGCAGCCCCACCGGACCGGCAGCTGACCCCGCCTGGCAGAACACCACTTTGGCTCACTTCGCCCGGTGCATGGCTTCCGAGAGGGGCCGCGTCCGAGCAGGTCCTTCCACAAGTCCGTTTTAACTGTGCAGGGAAAGCGACGCCGGGCTGACGGGTCGCTGGCGAACTCCTCTGAGGTTTTGTGGTCTGAAATGTCTGGAGCAGGAGCCTGACGCTCCCGTCACGTCTGACGAGGATTGCAAACGGTGCTCGGCAGGAGCGCACCTGCCTCCGGGGGCAGCCGAGGACCCGGCAGGCAGCTGCACAACCCAGACTGGCTGGCCCTTGCCAGGAGAGGCCCGCGGCCCCCCCACCCAGGCGACTACTCCTCGAGGCCCTGCTTGATGCCCGTCCTCGCCCGGCCGGGCTTTCACCGTCCTCGGAGAACCCAGAGAAGGGCCCTGCATTCTCTGCTCAATGTCGAAGGGGAGGAGAGGCTCCCCGGTGGGGATTGTGGCAAGCGGGGTGTCCAGGAGGCAGAGGGCAGGCAGCCCTGTGGCTTGACGGGGGCCCTGCCGTCCTGGGCCAATGTGCGTTTGAGCCGGCCCCCTTCTGGCGAGGCCAGCCGGGCCCTGTGGAATGAGTGGTCTCGGCCGGGCTCCTCCGCATCCTTCCTTCTCGTGTCCCACACCTTTTCTAGGACTGTTATGTTGGAAAGAAAGAACGAGCACATGCCCTGGTGTGAGGTGGCCCCATGTGGCATCTGGGGCAGCTGGCCTTTCTCCTCGGGGTTGGACTGGATGGAAGCAGCCATCGTACCTTACTGTCCTTTAATTATATACACACACCTTGCATATGTCTGTGGGGAGAGATCTCCATATACATATGTACATATAATCATCCATGTATTCTAAATAACTTCCTGTTTCTTTTCTGTTTTTTAAGGATAAAAACAACAAGAACGAACATACATGTGTTATTGTAACGTCTTCTTTTACCCATGTCTGCAGTGGGGAGCAAACCGTCCCACACCAGGGCGAAGCTGGGTTTCCACGGTCCCTCAGTGAGTGGACCTGGCCGAGCACACGCTGCCGGGCGCTTCATCTGGAGCGCAGGTGAGCGAGCACAGCAGGGAGCGAGCGGGCGCCTGGTGGCCCCGGGCCCTCCTGCCACTTGGTGCCACGCCGGCCTCCTTGCGGGGGACCAATCAGGCATGACCCCAGGGGAGCTGTGGATCCCGCTTGTGGCCACCCAGCGCCACAGGGCGGGCTGCGACGTGGGGAACGGCGGGCAGCTTCATGCGGGAGAAGCCGCCTCAGCCGGCACAAGGCAGGCGCACTCCAGTGTTGCAGTGCGGTCGCACTCACCGCTGGCCCTGCTGCCCCCTCTCCTGGAAAGGCCCCTGCAGGCGCCCGAGTGCAGGAGGTGCAGGATGCGGCCCGTTTCCCTTGCCCGGGCGGCGGCACTGCCCTTGCAGCTCTGGCCCTCGCTGCGGAGCCAAGGGTGGTCGGTCCTGGGAACAGGTGCTGTGCAAGAGGAACCGCCTGGCCACCTTGCCAGGAGGGGAACAGCAGAGCAGCACTCCAGCTTGTTGGGTGACTGAGGGGAAGAACTGCAGCACTCTGTGCAAATAACCAGGCCCTTTATAGACCTGTGAATCAGTGCACTCAGCAGCCCCTCTCCAAACGGGTAAGGAAGGGGATGTGGTCTCAGGAGGGCAATGAAACCGAAGGCTCTTCGTGGGCCTGGCAGACAAACACAACTCCATAAAATTGCCTTTTGCAGCTTCCGCTAGGAGAACTCCCTCGTGTTGTGCCTGCAGCTGCGGAAAGAGGCAGGTGGAGAGTGCGCCACTGGGGGAGAATTCGAGGCAAGGAAGGGGGCGGTGAAGCTACAGGGAGGGCAACTGCTGTGGGCAGTTGGCAATCCTGCCTTCAGGGAAGAGGAGGCCTCTTGCTGGGAAGGCCACGCAGCTGCCCCTCTGGGGTGGGTCTCCGCACAGGCGAGCGAAGCCCAGCAATGACCAAATAATGTGGGAAGGGGCATCCACTGAGAAGGCCCACGTGTAGCCTCACTGCTGGCTTGTTGCAATCACTTCTTATTGTTTAACACTTGCTCAAAAGCCACCGCAGCAAACATGAGAACATGAGCCACGATCAGAAGACCACATGAAAGGGCTGGGCCTCCACAGCCACTGGGAAAGCTGAGAGAGCGCTGCCAATCCAAAGGAGCCGCACTGCAGCTGCGCACCGGCACAGAGGGTGGCTCCCTTTTCCTCTGCACGCTAAACGGCACCGTTGCATCTTAACTGACGCTTCGAGTGGGATCTTGCCGAGAATCAGGTCATCTGGCAGGATAATAGGCAGTGTGCAAATTTCCACCCGTTCTTGGCAAACCTTTGCTCACCCAGGGAACTGTGGCTCTTTCTGGACAAAGGCCTGAACGGAAGTGCCAGCACATGCCTTCCGGGCGGGTGGGCAGGGGGGCGAGAGCATGTGCCAGGCCATGAGGGGAGCCAGCGCTGGGCTTGTGCCACAAGGCCTGCGATCGGTCGGCTCTCAAGACCAAGCCCCTCTCTGGAGGTTCCATGGGAACAGATTCTGGAAACAGAATGGGAAGGGGCAAGAGGTGCCAGCACACGGCCTGTGCCAGAAAGGCGCTGGAGGCCTTCCCTTGCGGGCTGATGTCAAGCAGCTGGTCCCTCCGCTGGACCTGCATGTTGCGTGGGCAGTCTGGAAAACAAGGCAGAAAGACAGCTAGGTAAGGTGGAGAGAAGCAGAGATTCGGGCATGTGGGGAGGGGACGGGGCTGCGAGTGTCAGGTGCCATTCAGTATATCAGATGTGGCAATTCGGTTCTGTATAAGGTCAGAAGATTCCCAGCCCAGCCTCCAAGCACACCTAGACGTTGGCAGCTGAGGGGCAGAAGGGATGCTGGCACTCTCTCCGGGAGAGAATCTGTCCGGCTGCAGGTCCCTGAACGAAGCCCTGTCCGGGCTTCATGCGGATTTGCCACCTTGGCCGTCCGGGTGCATCTGCTCTGCAGCTGCTGTGTCCCACACACCAGACCAGCGGCGTTCGGTGTGTCTGGCACACCGCACCTTCTGGCACCGCGTAATTAATGTGCGCTGTGGGCCCACGTGAGGCCGGGCTCACTTCAGCTCATGCTCCGCGTGGATCCGAAAGCACTCCTGCCCGGGAAGGACGTGCCCCTCACCAGGCCGGGACTATGCTGTGGCCCAAAGGCAGGCAGGTCCAAAGAGGCCTGTGCGTGTGGCAGGGCAACGGGGCGCCCGCAAGCTCCTCTGCGCTCGCTGGATCGAGAGTGGCACGTTGCGGCAAGTGGTGCCACGTGCACCTCCGAGCGTGGCCCCTGGCGCACGCAGCTCGTGAGCCGTGGCAGCCCTCGGGCTGGGTGTTCCTGGCCCCGCTCTGGGCCCATCTCTGCCCACCCTCTGCTGGCACCAGCCCAAGCCCAGCAACTCTGCCATCGACCGCAGGCTGGTTTCACAATCTGTCTCTTAATGTGCGGACATTATTTCTTATCCCTGCTTATTTTAAACATCAATAACTTGTCTTTGCACCATCTAGTCTACAAGGCGGCAAATTAAACCGTTAAATCAAAGGTTAGCCAGCCGTGGTAACCAGAGAAGGATCAGTTTCCCTTCCACAGAAGCTGCTCACAAAATGGGTGGGCAAACTTGCCTCCAGGGAGAGGCCAGGCTGCCTGGCGCCTTTCGCCACATCCCTTGTTCTGGGCATGAAGGGGGGGGGGCTTCCGAAGGGGCTCTTGGGGTCCCAGTGGGTATGATGGGAGCAGCTGATCCTTCAGCCCACGCCGCCCATCTTCCTTAGCCCAAGCATTCCTGCCAAGCTTTTGCAATTGTTTTTGTATCCTCCTTAAAACTTGATGCCACATATAAATGTGACCGATGTGTATATTGCTTTTCTAAATGTATTTGTTGGAGCGTGAACACTGTATTTGCTTGCATTCTTTGACTTTTAAATGTTTGTTTTCAGCTTTGTAGGCTGCTGCGTGGCCTGGGGGCGGGGGGAGGGCTGCGGAGCCAGGCTCGGTTGGGCATCGCAGGAATGAACTGCAGCGTAGCTGGCCGGGAGGAGGGCATGGCTCAGGGGCGCCTGGTCACCTGCCCCACGGTCGGCACCCTTGCCGTGCTGCTGCCAGGGAGGCCGTGGGCTGCTGGAGGAGCTGCCGCCGCTGCGCTGTGCCGGGGGTGGCCTGCAGTGCCGCTTGTGCCGAGGGCTCCAGCCCAGCCACTTCATGGCTTCGGCCTTGGACATGATGCCCGCCAGCCAGGTGTGCCCAGCTGACGCAGGCGCTTCCCCCTGCAGTGGGCCTTCAGCTGTAGGCAAAGCAATGGAAGCACAAGCCCCCGAAACCATCCTGGAGGATTTCTTCAGAACGGTGTTCTCCTTTGATGTTTTCCCAAAGGCATTTTTTCCCGCCACAGAGCAAGAGTTGCGCAGAGGAGCCCTGGGTGCAGCACTGGCTCGGCCTGGAGCGCCACTTCTCTTGGTGCAGCCCCCTTTCACACCCTGCCTTCACTGCTGCTTTCCGCCTAATTTAAGGTGACGGGAGCAATCGCGAAGAGGCACTTGCCACGTGCTTTTCGGCTTAACCTTTAAAACAGGCCCCTTCTCTGCTTGGGAATGTGTTTCCCTGGGGGATGGAGCTGCAGCCTAGAAAGCGCTCTCCACACTGGATGTTTGCACAGGGACCTCTCCTGATTTCCCCGGGGAAGGCTGGGAAGGCTTGTGCTTTCCACTCCTCGGGGTCCCTTTCCCAGGCCAACACTGGGAAGAGCTGTGGCAGGCAGACTCAGGACGCTTGCAGAGAGGGGAACCCGGGAGCCGGGCCCGGCCGGAGTCCGTGCATGGGGCCAGAAGGCTCCCCGCAGGCAGGCCACAGCCCTCCTCCGTCCCTGGTGGCCCTTGGGGCGTGCAGGTGAGACGCCTGGCCTTGTGTTGCCGCTGGCTGTAAAGGGAGCCTCTCCCCCACCTGCACGACTGCCCTTGAGGAACCTTAATTTGAAAACAGACGCAGAACTTGCAGAGCAAATCGAAGGCAGAGCAAGCGGCGCTGTGGCGCGCTCACTCGCCGCTGGCTGGTGGGGCACTGCGGTTTTCTGGTGAGACGGAGGCCTGTGGCTGTGGCCAGGGGGCGGGGGATCCCGGCTGAGCAAGGTCCGTCTGCCCTGCGCCCGCATCCCACGCCGGCCCTGGCCCAGGAGGCTTTCTGGATCAGAGCGTGCTGCCGGTGCAGAGGAGTGCGGCCCACCCCGCAGGAGCGGGACCCCGTGCGGCAGCAGTAAGAGCAGCCGACGCTGCCAGCAGCAGACACGGACTGGCCCGGCCCAGCAGGGCAGAGGCTGCACATGCGCCGTGCCCACAGCCGCCCAGGAGCGCTTCCCCTCCACCCCGCCCCATGCCTGGCTTGGCTGCACTGCAGGCACAGCGGCTGCCTGGGGGGGTTTGAAGGGAGGGTTTAATTAGCTATAAATGCCGTGCGTGTGCTAATTCTGCGTTCTGGAGAGACATGAATTGCTGCCCGCACGTTCTAGTTGCTATAACAACTTTAATTTGCTCTGCAGCCCTCGCTGATGGCTTGAGGGGGAGGCGTGTCGCCCGGCCCTTTCGCACTGCAGGATCTCTGGCCAGAACGAACGGGAAGCACCCGGGGGGAGTGGAGCCGTCCTCGCTTCCCTTCAGCCGTTCCGGCCTGGCATACCTTTGCGGTCGCCGGCTCCGGGGGCTCCGGCGGGCGACGCTCAGACCCACCCCAGGAGCAGCTCGTCCTGCACATCGCTGGGTGGCTCTTCCTGCGAGGCTTGTGTGGGGCTCGGCCTTCACGCCTGGCAGAGCAGGGCTGGGACAGGCACCTTGGGCCCTCCGAATCCAAAGAGGTGTGGGGAGACCTGGCTGTGCTCACCGCCCCCCATCAATGGGGGATAAA